AAAGCTGGCTCTGCGTTCGCTTGCCATGTTCAAACAAGTCGGCTCTGACCGCACATGTCACCTGCTTGAAAAACGATCATTATCACCGGCAACAGCAAAGACATGCTAGTGACTAGTGCTAGTTCTCAAGAGCAACCATGTTTCCCTGGCGAGCCACTCCGACGATTGCCCCTGCTGCCGACGCTCCGTAGAGGAACTGCGCGTTCTTTCCTCGCCGGCATATCAGATATTGTTTGTGAAATGCAAACAAACTCAAGAACAAAGGCACATGACATGGCTGTCATGGCTGTCCTGCCGATCTCTCCCGCGGGCCTGGGCAAGTGCGACGGCCAAGCCGATGATGCACAAATCATTCTGGCTTCTGCAATCACAGGTGATCCTGGCGTTGGCCCTCGTTGCAGCAAAGCGGCTGGGCTGTGGGGGAAATTCGATCTTGTCCACATGTTCCGGTGGACCGGTGATCGCGTTCTCTGGGAGCACATAGGTCTGCCACGCCGCGGTTGCTGTCGAAAGGCGTCAGTCATGCTGCTCCGGAGCAATCTCAAAATCAGCGGCTTGCTATGAGATGTCGTCTCGACTTCACTGCGGTTCCCCAAACTCTGGATACAGAGTCGTGCAGTGTGCCCTCGCAAGATGAAATGTGGCACCAGTAAGGACAAGGACAAACATGCCATGTTGTTCGAGTGTCCCTATAAGCTCCGTACACATGGCAGGCTCATCAGTGGAAACCTTGCTGAGTGCTTCGCCCCTCGCCGCTTCTGTGGAGGAGCACCGGCTTTCCAGCGGGCTCCCTTAGCACAACAAACGCTGCGAGCTGCTTTTTAGCTAAACCGAGCCGTTTGGCTTTCGGAAGGCCACGGCCGCCACTGCTGGAACTCTGTTTCGGCCCTTCTTGTGAACTCTGGGTCGTTCATCCTATGGCAGGGCAATCCGAAAACAACCTGACTTCGAAGGTGTCAAACAAACCAGGAAGCCCTGAGAGAGGCTCATGAGGAACGAGGCTGCGGCAGGCTCTCCATGCCAGCCGTCCGCACCAGAAGCTGGCAACAGCAGCGTCTTTCAACATTTCGCAAACTCCTACACGCTTTTGTGCTTCTTATCGGGGTCGACGCTACATCTTTTGTCACATGCAAACGGCCATGCCATGCCATGCCCTTCGAGTTTGTGCCAGTCCCAGTTTGGGTACATTTGGACCAGGGCCACGAGCCGGACGAGCCGGACGAGCCGGATTCTCAGTGCGAGGTCACTTGGAACGCGGTGCCGCTTGAAGTCACCTGAGGAACCATCTCTGTTTCGAAGACTTGCCTGCCTTTACTTGCGGCAAAGGCCGATTTCAGGTAAAGGCGAATGAAAAAGAAATACATACCAGCAGTGATCAGAAACAAGCATGTAATGCCGACGACATAACAAGAATAGGGCATGAAGGGCCACTCCACCAGTAAAGAAAGCACCAGGGCCAAACAAATGGCGGAAATGCCCAAGGTCTGGGCTTCCAATCTGTTGAAGAAAGCATTCTCGTAAGGCTTCACCGTTACATGGACAAGTTCTGCAACGAGGATGATACCAAGAAGGTAGATCAAGTGTGTCCCCGGTGCCCAGGACATCGGAAAACTGGTCGCAACAACGTAGATGGCAGCCTTCCTTGCAAGGACGGTGACCTCCCACCATCGCAAAGTCGGACGATATCCTGCGACCAAGAAGCCAATCGTCAGCCTGTGGTCTTCTGCTTGCTCCCGACCTTCACTCGTCAAGTAAAGCCAGAGAACTGGCCCCAACATGAAGAGCACCAGGCTGGTGAACATGGCAAGCCAGAACCTTGGAAGCTGCAACACCGCCAGGACGGTAGATGCACATTGTGTATCGAAGGTGGCCTCATACATGAGAACACGCCGGCCACCATCCTGTGTTGCCACGCAAGGACCCAGCATCGCTGCGGCACCAAAGAGCCCGGGTGCAAAGACATTGCCCCATATAACCAAAGACCTTAGGTAGTGTCGTCTGAGGATGCCGAAAGAGATCAGAAGTAACGCCAGTGGCGTGGCCCAGGAGAGGGCCAGACTCGAGCAAACACCCAAAGGCTTGCCAAACCAACAATCAAAAGAATCTGCGCCCAAACCAGGCTCGGCTGAAATCACGACATCCGCTGTAAAGAAGGCTGGGCGCAACATCCGTGCGAAATAATTGAAATCGCCCTTCAGTTTCCCGAAGTGTCGGGTGTGTGGTACCGCGGCCAGGCTGCGACAAGAAATCGCAAGAAAAGCGAGGAACATCTTGAAAATCTGTCTGGTGTTGGTCCGGGGCCTTGCAGACCTCATGGCCCAAAGATAAAACAACCCATTGAGTAGCATGGTCTTGCTCAGCTGTCCTAGCAATCCCGTCCGACACTTGCGGCAAGTAAAAGGATCCAACTTCTGCCGGCCATATCCAGGAGAGCACCTCATACAGCCGCGGCTCCTCTCGTAGCCGTCGCTACAAAGCCGGCTGGAAGATGTGAGCTCGCCCTCGGCCGTCAAACTTAGATTGCTGCCGGGACAGACCCATGAGTTGGGACATGCGTGGACTTCCAGCGTTCGCGTTGCGAAGTCATGGAAGAGCATGTAGCCGGGCAGAGAACTCACGTGCGTGGCCCCCTTGCACCACAACTTCTCTGCAAACTCCTTGGCCAGCAGGTGGCAGGGCACGCACGCCTTGTATGGATTTGGGGGATCGAAAACCGGGATAACTTCGTGATCGAAGCCCAAAACCAGCCCCGGGGCAAAAGCGGGGCCAACTTCACCGTGCCGGCCGATGCGGAACCTGACGGACTTGTTCATGTCTGTCCACAAATCGACGTCATCTTCTTTTATGATCACCATCTTAGTATCTGGGTAGAGCAAACCAAAAGGAACGGCCAACAGCCAGCCATCGGCAGTCCTGAAAACACCTCGATCGAAAGTGAAGTTCAGCTTCTGCCGGCCCAGCTTTAGTGTAGATGCTTCGAGGTTGGGGTCCCAGTCTCCTTCCACCAAGCCCAAACTGCTGCCATCGGAGCTGTTGGTCAAAACGAGTCCTTCAAAAGACTCGATGGCATTTGGGGAATCCTTCTTGACCAGTACCAGGCGCATTCCAGGCGCAGGGGCTTTGATCTTTTCTCGAATCTGAACTCTTGTGGGCGCAAGCGAGGCGGTACCGATGCCACATAGCCTGCATTCACCAGTGCGGGGAAGACCGCTGTCGCTGATGGTGAACCGCGAGCCTGCAGGACATTTGTCGTCGCCTTGTGTGCTTGATTTCGAAGCTAGGATCGGGCGAAGCGATAAAACATCAGACACCATATCGGCATCAACGGGCAGGATGGCTGTGAGAGCGAATATCGCAGAGCCAGAGAACCGCGTCATGCTGTCTGAAAGCGACACGCGGCTGTCTGCGCTGATGATGACTTTGCCCCTGGCCGCAATCATGGCGTTGCCATCACCTGTCCCAGACCAACACGCTTCGAAAACGACTCGGCTACTGATGATGTGGATGTCTGCGTTGCTGGAGATAGCCCCTCCCGAGCCACCTCGGGTCACAGCTGGTGCCGTACAATCGTGGAAGGTAGCGGAGCCCCCTGAATCCAGCTTCACCACGACACTGCCGATGGCACTGAGTGCTCCACCTCCGATGACCTTACCTTTGCTGCTACACTGTCGGAACATGTACGTCGCACTGCCAGTCAACGTCAGGTCACCTCTTGAAGACAGCGCACCTCCCCTCCAGCTCGAAGTACAGTCTTCGAAGCGAACCATGCCGTCGCTGTGGAGGTGTATGCCTAATCCAGCATAAAAGGCGCCTCCTCTGTAATACCCAAAAGACTTGTTAATCAGCAGGTTGCCGACAGTGCTGTTGATGACACCCCTGTTTGCTCTTGCAGCCGCCCCACCCTTAAGGCTGTACAAATTCTCAAAGTGAATGCTGCCTGGACCCTCCAGGAAAAGATTACGACCTGCATCCAGCGCGGCACCTGCACTGATGCACCGGATGTTGCGAAAAACGATCTTCCCATCCTCTGGAGACTGCACGATTAGGTCTCCCAGGCTCCTCATGGCTGCAGATCTCAAAGACACCATGTCTGTAGTTTTCAGAGCCTCACTGCCATGGGGCATCAATACAGTCAAAGGGCCACGGACCGTCGCAGCATCCGTGCAGGTGAACGAGATACCACCGAAAATCAGTATGGTGGCATCAGGCGAACCCTGGAGTATCTTGCAGTTCTTGTCGATGTCGTGCCGTGGAGCTTCGGTGCGATAGACAACCCCTGATTCGAGATGTATGGTGCCGTCTTCCCCACATGTGCTTGGCAGGAGCTCGGCATCCAAAAACCGGCTGCCGGAAGCTCCAGCCGCCTGAGATGTGAGTGCACCGCCTTCTGCGCTCTTCAAATCAATGATGATTTCGAAGGCAAAGAAGAGCCCAAGTCGTCGGCATTGCATGGTCTCCGGTCTCTCATCCCGTACCCCACCGAATAAATCAGATATCCTAGGAGTGTGGGGATCCTCGAGGGTTTTGTGGTTTTGTGCTTTGGGGCTCCTTGGAACGTCCGCGCAGGTCTGGAGCTCGAGGTGGATGCATCAAGACCCGCAGTGTCAACCAAGTGCCTCTAAGCCTCTGCTTAACGGAATGCGTGCGATGCAGCGCGCTTCCATATGTCTCGAAACATCATGATGCAATATGGTGGAGATTATGCTATCTTATGCTCATCCTGTGAGAACCTTGTGGCCGTAATGGCTTGGCCTCCAAGGGCAGAGTTAAAGCTGCACAGCTCAATGCGTCTGTGGAACTGCAGCAGATTCACAGCAAGCATAGCCCCCTAAACTACACGCCACCTGTGCAAACCTAGGAAAGGATGCAGGGGTGCACCTCCCGAGGCCATGCCACCTTTGCCGAGGCGTGCTCAAAGAAGCTATATGCAGTCCTCCCCGTACTTCGCAGCTGCTTTTAACGCCTGCTTGAATCGCATGTCACTACGTCGCCGATGACGCGAATATGCAGACTGTGCAATGTACTATACTGAGACGCAGCAGTATGTTCTGGAAGAAAAACATCGCCTTTCGAGCAACTGCCCATGCTGGTAAACTGGCTTCCCTTGCCTTGTGCGCTTCCGTAGTAAGGTCCTGTCGAACCCATCTTGTGTGCGAGGTTCCGAAAATGTTTAAGCTTACTGGGCCTACCTGTCTTAGCATGGCAGACGCTGCGCAATCCAAGCGAGTGCAGATAAACCACTTGATGATGCAGGCTGTAACCGGACACAGCTGCCATTGTAGCATAAGCAGTTGGGATGATTTGCCGTATCGCGGCTCCCTCACCTGCCGAATGTGTTAGAAGCACAGGTCACAAGTCTGTCAGCTCCGGGCGGTCCTTGGCCTTGGTAGCCACCACCAGGACCGTGACCTGGGGGAAATTGACCTGGCGCAGTGCTGGACAAGGCTTGGCCTCGCGTGGCTTCCTGCTTGGAAGCGTGTTCCTTCAGACTTCGGTCGCAAGTCATGAAGTGAGCGGGTACTGTACCTGTTTTTGGTTGGACTACATGGCCCACCACTTGCACTCACCTCGCCGACTTGCAACTTGCACTTGTCTAGTCTAGCACGAGCAAGCCGCATCGGTCAACGGTGTGTACATGGAGCCGGCCAGAATCGTACCGTACAGCGGATGTTGGATGACTATCGTTGGTCACGAGATGTATCGAACTTCTGCGCATTGCATTTGAACGACGCAATCCCGGCCTGGTGCCCCGTACCCCTGGCCGTAACCGCCTTGTCCTCACGCTGGCTACGTGCACAAGACCAGACTCTTCAGAGGCATTGCATGAGGGTCAGGGTCCAATAGACAACAGCGCCCGATGCAATGACATCACTCGGCAAGGAAGCGCTTGGGAAGTAATCAACAGCTTTCCGTACACATGGATGCTTCAAGTGTCGGGGGTGATCCATCCCAGTTGCAAACTGTCCCAGCCCTAGCCGTGGCCTGCAGCTGCGAACAGAGTGTAGTGTGAAACTTCATGGGCCCGTGCAGGTGCCATCTGAGAACTTCGATCTCTTCCGAGGGTCCGTAGCCGCCACCGCCCGGGGGAGGATACCCGCCGTAGCCGCCGTAAGCTCCACCGGCAGCACCAAGGGCGCCGTAGCCCCCGTACCCACCTGCTCAGGCTCGGGTTCTCGTCTCAGTTTTCGTAAGCCAGCACACAGGCAAACACGCCTCAAAAAGTGCTAGGCCGCCAAGGCCAGCAGGGCAAAGGTCTTCTGGATGTTACGAGAGAACTTTGTAGTGTGCAGTGCAAGGTTGCCGTGGACAAACTGAAAGATTGCATGATTAAATTGCTTGCTCTGCGAGCATGATGATATAGGGGCCTTAATAATCAGAATAGGGTTTTGCGGCCCATTATATAATAAGGAACCCCCAAAATAGTATAGGTAATTATTTAGGCCGCTTAGGCCCCTATATTGTTGCTGCTGTGGGGTGCCTTCTCTTGGGCTGACATCCTGCTCTCAGGTTCGAACAGCCTTCCTTTCGCACACAGAAGCCACGATCTTGTCGAGGCTCGTCGCAGGTATCGTATCAATGTCATTCGTTTGAGAGTCTGGGATAGTTTGGGTACATCCTGCCTTTCCCGAATCCCTTGCTGCCGGCGCCGCCACCGCCAGCCTCGGCGTCAACAGCAAGCCGCACGAAGCCGTCTGAGCTCCGAGCCCAAACCCCGGAGTCGTGGCTGCTCAGGCCAAAGCAGGTCTTTGCCTGAGCCAGGCAAGGCGGTTCAGAGAGCACAAGAGATACACTGATGTACGAATCTTCTGGAAGCTTCAACATCACCATCAGCCCTTGGCAGTTGATAGGCTACCGGCAAGTTCTTAGTCAGCTTAGTCTTAAACACCCGGCTGCCTTCAGGCTCTGGGCTGTTCTGAATTGTGCTACCTTGTAGGTTGCTAGTTCCAGCAATGCCAAGGAGATATGTGAAAAAGCTCCACTGCTCTCTTTACGCTCTACATTGTATCTACGTTCTGTGTTGCCACATCTTCAGTGGCCGTCTCAGACGTCAAAAAGTACCACAAAGCGGAACTCCAGTTGCCGAAACTGTTTCGAACAAGCTGCTGCTGTGGTGGCGGAGGTGGGGGCCCAGGAAAATCACCAGGCGTGAGGTCCGCATTGCCTCAGATGCGCGCATGCGTGTTCCAACCCAGCAGATAAACATGTGTCTTAATTGGACTGCAGGCTGCGTTTGATCCTGAGGTCGTTGCCCCAATAGCAGTGTCGATTCTTGTCGCCCCGGATTTCTTTCAAATAACCTGCACAGCCAAAGCTCTGAGAAAGCTGCCCTCTCGATGCACAATCTCGTCAAATTGCAGCTCTCCATGGTGTGCAATGCAGGATTGGTCGGCACTATGCCGAGTACTTCGGCGCGGTCTGAACAAACGAAGACACCATCGAGCGAAGTGGCAATGCACAACCGCACACCGGAATTCAACTAAAGGCCTTTCTTTATCTCTGCACGGGCCTTGGTTCATGGCGCCACATTCGCCCTCTGCGAGATCGGATGTGGCATCTTTGAGCACTTGCTCCTGGCTCCGGGAAGGCACCCGAAGCTTGAATTCGCGTCTTGACCCGACATTGTTTGATGCTGTATCACAAGCAGCTCAAGACAAAGCTGCTGTCGTTGAACACGTCCCAAATGTTCACGTTCCGGAATACGCTACTTGTTGCGGCTCTCCATTCCGACGCTGACTTTCATGTTTGCATCGCTCGTTCTCTTCCGAGACAGGCTATATTCGGTCCCCGGGCCCTCACCCCGAGGCCAGTCACGGGAAGAGTCTTCGCACACGGTAGGCTTCCTTTCTCTTTCGCTGGCAAGGGATCGTCACGGGACGCGGGGTCAGTGACTACAGATCCAAAGTTCAAGCCCTGACTGTTGAAAAGCCCACCGAGATGCAGAACTGTCCAGGCCAATTTCAAGTTTCCCAAGCAGAGCCAGGGCCTTTGGGCCTTGTTCGAACATGGGATGATTCCAAGTACGCCAGCCTGCCTGCTGATCGGTGGTAAGGCTTGGTCCAAAGAGCGCCGCCAAGGCTGCTGCCAACAACCTTGCTTATTCTTGCTGTCACGTTAACCATGAACAGTGACTAGCTACAGCAGGCTGGCTACACTCGGTGGATGGTAAGGCGGTGTAGCTGAGAGCCGTTGCCATGGAGTATATACTAGCTCAACAGTAAAGAGTGCGATGCTGCTTGGCATCGGCTTTCTGGGTGATGTGAAGCTCACTCCAACAATCTCGGGCTGTTGCGCACTGAGCCCGCTGAATCTTCCACCCTTGCCAGAACCAAAGCCGTACCTGCCGAACAAGGCTTGCTCACAGTCTGCACTGGAAGAAAACCTTGATAGAACAGCTGGGGCAGAATAGAGTAACCCATCGGAAAAACGAATGGTACTACAAAGTGTGGTCGGAAATCTCACTGTAGCATTGCGAGCTCCTCACACACGATCGAAATGTGACGCCAATCCTGGGGAATGCCTTAGTCCGCTGGATGCCCGCTGCCACGGAATACCGTGAAGTCGGTATGCGTACACATGCCCAATATAACAGGGAACAGGAGGAGTACAAAGGCAGCGACGTTATTGAAGAACGCCATCTTCAAAATCTACAAAACCCTGTCGCAGCCCTCACGCTCAACTGAGCAATCCTCAGCTTACTCCCGGGGCTCACAGGGGACTGGTTTGGTCCGGAACCTCGGCACAGCATGACCAATCCACTGACGAACAAGGAGTGATGATGTGACGAAGAGTTCAATCCCCAAGGCCTCCTCAAAGCTTTCTAGTCTGTACCTGATTTCCTTTCTGGATGGACAAAGCTTTATGCCTTCGCAAAATCATGCACAGCAATAGACCGATCTCCTCTCACTGCAGTTGCAAGCCAAGCACTGCGGCGTTGCAAAACAGCCCAACCTGGCCTCGCCAGCAATGCAATCGCCGAAACCAAGCTCTGAGTACCGAGCAATGTATCCGGCAGTGCTGGGACCAGTTTCTTTCCTGATTCTGCGTCTGATCCGTGGCTTCGTGTGAAACTGTGTAGTCTGAGACTGCTGTTTGTGGGTGTCGTGGAGTTAGGTGTCTAGAAGACACACCTGGTTTTCCGCGAGCCATTCGTCAGTGCGCACTGTGCCTCTGGCTCTCTAGAAAATCAATACTAGTGTCTTGCTGCATGTTTCTCCTGGGGTGCATGGCTTACGAAACCGACCGGATTCCTACAACTTGCCGCCCTTCGTAAGATGTCGTCGCGATGAAACCATGGGGTAAGCTGAATCCATCCTTTCCCATAGGCACTTAAGCACTACGGATGAGATGAAGGTGCGCAGTTGCCCTTCAAGTACAAGCCCTTCAGCATCTATGTACAAACTGCTGCGAATGCACTTCAGCCTCTGCATCTGTCACGCAAGCACAAGAGAACGACGAAATAGGTGCCGAGCCCGACCAGCCCTCCCATCTTGGCGGTATGGCCGGTTTTCTACGGCTACTTTGGCCTAAGAGTTTAAGGCTATGGCTGCAGCATGTGTTATTAAGAACGAACCGTGCGCAAGTCCCTCAACAGTGTCGTGTCGCAGGCTGACACATGCTTTTTCGGGGTTGTCAAAAAAGTCTCAGGTATTCTCGAGCCATGCGTTTTTGCTTTCGCTCTTCGATTTGAGCCACTAACCGAGTCCGTCTACCGGAAAAGCTTGATCGGGCATGAAGATGTTTATCTGCAGGCCGCCAGTCTTGACGAAGTTTGAATCTGAGAACGCTTTGGAGGTGTCTCCGGTTGAGTTGGACATATCATGAGTCATGCTAGACATCGGTCCCACAATCGCAACCCGAAAAGGTCTGCACAGGCGTATCAGCAATGCGCGCTCTGTCCAACTATGCCGTCTTCGCCGTATGTAAGTTTGGCAGTCCGGGGCCTGTCTTGTTGGAGCGTGCGCTCTGTCCCTCTCCTTCTCTGCTGCAGCTGCTACTAGTAGACGTGCGTCTCTCTCGCTCTATTTCCCTCCCTCTCTCTCTCCCTCTCTCTCTCTCTCTCGCTCGCTGTCTGCCGCTCTCGCTCTTCAGCATCTTGCGGCAGCCTTGTTCGCACTGCTTGGGTGTTGCTTCGAGATTTGAACTCACGTCGCGCTGCGACCTTCTCGCCCACATGCAGCTCATGCTCCGTGAGGACCCACGTCTCTTGTTGGGCTGAGAGGAACTGCTGACTTGCCTGGCCGAGCAGTCAGATGGAATAAGACGCTGGTTCGGTCTCAGCACCTCTCGTAGATTCAGCAGACTGTAAGACGATTGCGAAAACGAGTGCGGGCCTGGGAAGCAACCCCTAAGTTCTTGCCAGAGGGGGCGACTCGTGTGATCGGCACGTGGCTTCGGAGATTGCTCCAAAGGCAAGTCAAGACTATCGGCTGCGGGAATTGCAGGAGCTTTGTCAGTCAAGTCCGAAAGAGACAAAAGTTGGGACACAAGTGCTGCAGGCACTTTACTTAGTCTGAAGTCTCGAGATTTCGGACCCGTGCATCTGCGCCACCACAACGGACTGCGCCTGCATCAAGACTCGGGAGGACGCAACCACAACGGCCTGGCGAGGCAGGGGCGTTTCATCGCCCCAGGATTGGAGCACGGTGGGGCACTTCTAGCAAGGCTGGAAGTTGGGGCTGTTTTCCGTGCATCATACCTTGTCACATCGCCATCCCACCACAAGCTGCACCTTGCCCTGGGCCAGGGGCGAAAGGACTCGAGGCAACAGCACCTTGCACAGTAGAGGCCCCAAAGGGATTTGCCGATGCACCACCCACTGGAGCACCCCACTGCCAAATGCAGATATCACCATGCAGACCAGCTGTCGCGAACATGCCATCGCTCTTCACGTCCACGATGGCCTTGACGTCGCTGCGCTCCTTCACGCAGAAGCTCCCGCGCGGACGGAACTCTGGCAGGTCGAATGCGGTGACGTATCCCTGAACTTGGCCGCAAAGCAGCAAGGGCTTTTGTGTCGATGGATGCACCATCAGCTCAAGCGCTGTGTTAGACACATGCTCTCCACTCGGCGGTCGGTGAAAAATCTGCGACCCAGACGCATCGTAAATGTTGACCTCTCCGTTTCGGAAGGTGGCAATCATGAAGCCCTGGAAGTCCAGCAAACCTGTCACATGGTTTGAGGAAGGGATGGCTCCTCGAGCCTGTAGAGAACCGAGATCGAAGCATGTGATGCCCTCGTAGCCACCAACCCACAAGGCATCGTTCAGCACACGCACGGCTGTGACTGGACCACTTGGGTTCGTCAAAGGCTGCCCATGCGGCTGAAAGCTCTGGCCGTTGAAGGTCCAAAGCCGCACTGTGCCTCGGTCCCAAGAAAATCGAGATTTCCGGTGCCTTACAAGGGAACCCAACTTCCCGAAGAGACGATCTAGGCTTAACACAAAAGAACGCAAGAAGAACGAAGATTGAATGAACGACCCGCCTTCGTTGGATCCGGAGATGAGTACGCCACTGTGCACCTGCAGTGCGGTGACTGAGCGCCGGTGGCCTTGCAGTCGGTCATCCCGCATGGGCTCCTTGCAGAAGGCACGGACTTCCCCATTCCAAAGGCCACAGAACAGCCACTTCGAGGTGGGTTCGTAGAAAAGGGAGGTGATGCTCGCACCCAGGTGGATGGGAGGACAGTCCTGAGCTAGTTGTATCTCGCCATTAGCTGCTCGATCCGGCTTCCAAACGAAGAGGTACTCATCGCGGCCGCCGGTATAAATCTTGCCGTCTGCCATAAGCATGCAGTTCACCGCATCACCATGTCCCATGTTGTGAGGCATGTAGTAAAGCTTCCGCAGCTCGGATCCCTTCCCCAGCATCGGGCCAGTCGCCGCCTCATCGGGGCGCCCCGCCTGCGGTGCCGCACCGCCTTGCGGCGCCGGTGCGAAAGGGCTCGCGCCCTGCGGCGCTTGCAACCCCGAGTTGTTCCATCCTTTACTCCACATCGCTGTCGACCATCGGCCGCTGCAACAGGCTCGCTGCCCACTTTTCTTAATGATAATGTCAAACATGTCATGTCATTACACTTTCTTGTTGGCCTGCATGCGCAAACCGCCAACCCCGGTCAGTACCTGGTCTGCCAGCGACGACACGAAGATGCCGCAAAGAGTGGATTCGGACTGTCGCTTTACGAACTGCCTCATGAACCCCTGGCTGCAGCAGGCATGGGCAGGCATCAGGAGATCTGTCACAAGCGTTACTGACACTCCTAATAGTTTGACCGGCAGCATGCATGCATGTGGGAAAGCTTGAGTTGGACATTGGCTTTCTACGTGGCTCCTGCATCCCACTGGCATGGTACAACATCCAATCTCCATCTACGAAACCCAATCTGGCCCAATCTGATCTGCATCTGCAAACAAGGGCTGCGCCCGATTTACATAACATTGCAGGACACCAACGGAGCATTTACACCGCAAAGGACGCGCCTGCATCAAGACTCGGGAGGACGCAACCACAACGGCCTGGCGAGGCAGGGGCGTTTCATCGCCCCAGGATTGGAGCACGGTGGGGCATTTCTAGCAAGGCTGGAAGTTGGGGCTGTTTTCCGTGCATCATACCTTGTCACATCGCCATCCCACCACAAGCTGCACCTTGCCCTGGGCCAGGGGCGAAAGGACTCGAGGCAACAGCACCTTGCACAGTAGAGGCCCCAAAGGGATTTGCCGATGCACCACCCACTGGAGCACCCCACTGCCAAATGCAGATATCACCATGCAGACCAGCTGTCGCGAACATGCCATCGCTCTTCACGTCCACGATGGCCTTGACGTCGCTGCGCTCCTTCACGCAGAAGCTCCCGCGCGGACGGAACTCTGGCAGGTCGAATGCGGTGACGTATCCCTGAACTTGGCCGCAAAGCAGCAAGGGCTTTTGTGTCGATGGATGCACCATCAGCTCAAGCGCTGTGTTAGACACATGCTCTCCACTCGGCGGTCGGTGAAAAATCTGCGACCCAGACGCATCGTAAATGTTGACCTCTCCGTTTCGGAAGGTGGCAATCATGAAGCCCTGGAAGTCCAGCAAACCTGTCACATGGTTTGAGGAAGGGATGGTTCCTCGAGCCTGTAGAGAACCGAGATCGAAGCATGTGATGCCCTCGTAGCCACCAACCCACAAGGCATCGTTCAGCACACGCACGGCTGTGACTGGACCACTTGGGTTCGTCAAAGGCTGCCCATGCGGCTGAAAGCTCTGGCCGTTGAAGGTCCAAAGCCGCACTGTGCCTCGGTCTCAAGAAAATCGAGATTTCCGGTGCCTTACAAGGGAACCCAACTTCCCGAACAGACGATCTAGGCTTAACACAAAAGAACGCAAGAAGAACGAAGATTGAATGAACGACCCGCCTTCGTTGGATCCGGAGATGAGTACGCCACTGTGCACCTGCAGTGCGGTGACTGAGCGCCGGTGGCCTTGCAGTCGGTCATCCCGCATTGGCTCCTTGCAGAAGGCACGGACCTCCCCATTCCAAAGGCCACAGAACAGCCACTTCGAGGTGGGTTCGTAGAAAAGGGAGGTGATGCTCGCACCCAGGTGGATGGGAGGACAGTCCTGAGCTAGTTGTATCTCGCCATTAGCTGCTCGATCCGGCTTCCAAACGAAGAGGTACTCATCGCGGCCGCCGGTATAAATCTTGCCATCTGCCATAAGCATGCAGTTCACCGCATCACCATGTCCCATATTGTGAGGCATGTAGTAAAGCTTGCGCAGCTCGGATCCCTTCCCCAGCATCGGGCCAGTCGCCGCCTCATCGGGGCGCCCCGCCTGCGGTGCCGCACCGCCTTGCGGCGCCGGTGCGAAAGGGCTCGCGCCCTGCGGCGCTTGCAACCCCGAGTTGTTCCATCCTTTACTCCACATCGCTGTCGACCATCGGCCGCTGCAACAGGCTCGCTGCCCACTTTTCTTAATGATAATGTCAAACATGTCATGTCATTACACTTTCTTGTTGGCCTGCATGCGCAAACCGCCAACCCCGGTCAGTACCTGGTCTGCCAGCGACGACACGAAGATGCCGCAAAGAGTGGATTCGGACTGTCGCTTTACGAACTGCCTCATGAACGCCTGGCTGCAGCAAGCATGGGCAGGCATCAGGGGATCTGTCACAAGCGTTACTGACACTCCTAATAGTTTGACCGGCAGCATGCATGCATGTGGGAAAGCTTGAGTTGGACATTGGCTTTCTACGTGGCTCCTGCACCCCACTGGCATGGTACGACATCCAATCTCCATCTACGAAACCCAATCTGGCCCAATCTGATCTGCATCTGCAAACAAGGGCTGCGCCCGATTTACATAACATTGCAGGACACCAGCGGAGCATTTACACCGCAAAGGACGCGCCTGCATCAAGACTCGGGAGGACGCAACCACAACGGCCTGGCGAGGCAGGGGCGTTTCATCGCCCCAGGTTTGGAGCACGGTGGGGCATTTCTAGCAAGGCTGGAAGTTGGGGCTGTTTTCCGTGCATCATACCTTGTCACATCGCCATCCCACCACAAGCTGCACCTTGCCCTGGGCCAGGGGCGAAAGGACTCGAGGCAACAGCACCTTGCACAGTAGAGGCCCCAAAGGGATTTGCCGATGCACCGCCCACTGGAGCACCCCACTGCCAAATGCAGATATCACCATGCAGACCAGCTGTCGCGAACATGCCATCGCTCTTCACGTCCACGATGGCCTTGACGTCGCTGCGCTCCTTCACGCAGAAGCTCCCGCGCGGACGGAACTCTGGCAGGTCGAATGCGGTGATGTATCCCTGAACTTGGCCGCAAAGCAGCAAGGGCTTTTGTGTCGATGGATGCACCATCAGCTCAAGCGCTGTGTTAGACACATGCTCTCCACTCGGCGGTCGGTGAAAAATCTGCGACCCAGACGCATCGTAAATGTTGACCTCTCCGTTTCGGAAGGTGGCAATCATGAAGCCCTGGAAGTCCAGCAAACCTGTCACATGGTTTGAGGAAGGGATGGTTCCTCGAGCCTGTAGAGAACCGAGATCGAAGCATGTGATGCCCTCGTAGCCACCAACCCACAAGGCATCGTTCAGCACACGCACGGCTGTGACTGGACCACTTGGGTTCGTCAAAGGCTGCCCATGCGGCTGAAAGCTCTGGCCGTTGAAGGTCCAAAGCCGCACTGTGCCTCGGTCTCAAGAAAATCGAGATTTCCGGTGCCTTACAAGGGAACCCAACTTCCCGAAGAGACGATCTAGGCTTAACACAAAAGAACGCAAGAAGAACGAAGATTGAATGAACGACCCGCCTTCGTTGGATCCGGAGATGAGTACGCCACTGTGCACCTGCAGTGCGGTGACTGAGCGCCGGTGGCCTTGCAGTCGGTCATCCCGCATGGGCTCCTTGCAGAAGGCACGGACCTCCCCATTCCAAAGGCCACAGAACAGCCACTTCGAGGTGGGTTCGTAGAAAAGGGAGGTGATGCTCGCACCCAGGTGGATGGGAGGACAGTCCTGAGCTAGTTGTATCTCGCCATTAGCTGCTCGATCCGGCTTCCAAACGAAGAGGTACTCATCGCGGCCGCCGGTATAAATCTTGCCGTCTGCCATAAGCATGCAGTTCACCGCATCACCATGTCCCATATTGTGAGGCATGTAGTAAAGCTTGCGCAGCTCGGATCCCTTCCCCAGCATCGGGCCAGTCGCCGCCTCATCGGGGCGCCCCGCCTGCGGTGCCGCACCGCCTTGCGGCGCCGCTGCGAAAGGGCTCGCGCCCTGTGGCGCTTGCAACCCCGAGTTGTTCCATCCTTTACTCCACATCGCTGTCGACCATCGGCCGCTGCAACAGGCTCGCTGCCCACTTTTCTTAATGATAATGTCAAACATGTCATGTCATTACACTTTCTTATTGGCCTGCATGCGCAAACCGCCAACCGCGGTCAGTACCTGGTCTGCCAGCGACGGCACGAAGATGCCGCAAAGAGTGGATTCGGACTGTCGCTGTTGTGCTCTTATAAGCGCCATGTGATGCTGACTCTGCTGCAGGGCAACGGCTAAATTTCACAGCTGGGCCAAGTTTGAAAGATCTCCCATGTACCAACTGCAAGCGAAGGAGGCAAACCTGACGAGTTCTACTCTGAAGGTGTTAGACAGACAGAGGCCGACCACAAGAGTTGATCAGGAATTACAGATCCAGCTTGGTGGATCAAGCCGGCACGGCCTCACGGACAAGCTCTCCTTTTGGACCCGGCACAGGCACACCCAATTCGGGGCTTTTGCGAGGCGGAGATGCGCGAATCTCGTAGCTGCATCAAAAGGCGGTATGCCAATAAGCCCTCGCGGATGTTGGGCGAGGCACACGAAGCTAGCCTAGCCGCAGGCAGCAGGCTAGTACAAGCAAGACAGGCTGCCTTCGGGTACATTGGCTGGGGTCTAGCTTCCTCCACTAGAACCTATCAAAGTTGCCATACCCGTGTCCGCTTTGCGGATCGGGTACTGTCTTGAAGGTGGTAGACGGAAAAGCTGCAAACCCACAGGGACTGTGCAACAGTATTAGGGCAGTGCATTTACTGCCCATGACCTCATTATCATGAGGCTCCAAGGGCTTTTTCCTGTGTTCGGGTTCTCGAATACCAAGTTCAGGGTCAGCATTCGGCAAAGGCCTACAGGCAGGCAACACCACTCAGAACCTATGACAACGATAAGGTATTCGGTGTAAGGGCCGGTTGATCTTCAATGCTATAGGCTATACAGCCCATAGGAGAAAGCCAACACATGCCTTATCTTGCTGGAGGCCGGGAATGAACAAGTGTTCTGCGAAAAAGCTCCTCGGGGCCTCTTGGAACTATGGAACGCAAAGCTGCTCCGCGAATCTCCAAGAACTGCTCTGTGTCTGCCTAACTCAAGGGATACCGAGAGCTGCTATGACAGGCCGAGACCGTTGCCTGACGTGCTGTAGTCAACATGCTATGATGCAAAGTTGGATGGCTCTTTCAAACTCGAGGTAATTCACAAAAGGCGCCCTCAATTCAGTTCTGGACGGCTTGCCCCTAAACCCTAAATGCCAAGGCAAACCATCACGAAACCCCGTTCAACTCCATGGACTTGATTGCTGGCTGCTACTACATGCACGACACGTCTTTCCAGCTCAAGGACGTCCTCGCGGCAGCAATGGAAACTCTCACATGGGCCTCGTTTGTCCGGCATGGGAGATGTCCATTGCAAGACTAATTGGCCAAATCGCCACCCAAATTGCTGGAAGTAGTCCGTCTCCAATGCACTCCGACGCCTGACTATTGGACCCCAATAGGCGACAAGCATGTGCTTCTCCACACATGCTAAGCAGCCGGGAAAAGTTTCTGAACCAAAGCATGCGGACTCAGCTATTGCAGAGCAATAAGCAGCTCTTTGTGCAGTCTGAGTCGGCCCTTGCCGACTTACGCTTAACTGATCACACGCAGTTGCTCTGCCACTTTGTGGGGGGGCTTCTGTCCTTGGCATTGTGAATGGAGAAACCTCCCCGCAGGTTTCGGCGCTTGTGTTCAGCTGTTGTTTGGAAAAGCCAGAACTGCCCTGCAAGAACTCGTCAAGTGAAGCACCCTTAGAACTGACCTGCAAAACACCAACCTCAACTGGTCCCACCCTCTCGCCGAACCAGTTGACGAGCGACGTGCTCAAGGCCTTCTGTCTTCCGGACAAACTTGTGCGGCCTCGTCATCTGCGCACTGCATTAGAGGACACATAGTACCATGAAGGTCTTGTGTCTATGGCCATTCACGACTTCTATAGTGAGACTGCTTTGGTGTCCATACTCTCGCACGTTGGGACATCGGGGATCCGTGCACTGACTCTGGCGCCAGGTACATACCTCGTGCCATGAAGCGTGACCATGCTCGGACCATCTCGGGCCTATGACAAAGTGTGCAAGCCTTCCTGCTTTGATGCCATGCCGCTCGTCTGTATGCCATCCTTCGATCCCGATCATCCTTCCTTCAGAACTTGAAACCAGTCCCTTCCATGTTGGATGATGTCACTCTGCCGGCCGTGACCTCCGACGGAATGAAGTGCCACTCATGACCTACCACAATCCAGCTGTCGAATTTCCAAGACAAGAATGCCACGTATCGCAAAACCGAAAAGTTGACGGGGCCATTGACTTTCCAGCCTTCCTACCAAACGAACCCAAAAGAAGCAGGCCAGAGTCTTTTGATATGTCCCTGAAAAGACCTGAGCTCGCCTGCCCGCCTTCAGACGAAGACCTTCGTCCCTGTGCTCTCGGGCGTGGCATCGCCGTGGGACAAAATGCCCAGCACCTCCAAAGCAACAGTGCAGTGCTAGGCCTTGACGCTAGGCAGAGCCTCAGGCAGGCCTCAGGGGTTCAAGCATGAGAGTGGGAAGATGCGAACCATCAGCTGTGCACTGATTTCCAGCAAGCATTGTTGAGGGTGTGCTCCGATCTTCTGCAAAGCGCACTTCTTGCATGGAAGTATAGGGACCCATGCTCTTTGACGAATGCGCCGTCGAGCGGCAATCCAATCTGCAGCCAAGTTGCCAAACCACTAAGCATGTTGGGGAAAATGCCCAATATGTTTAGGGCAAGAAGATAATATGTTTTCCCCAACATGGTTAGTCCAATCTGCAGCCAAGTTGCCGGAAGCTGAGCCAAAGTCTCCCGTGCCCGTGGCAGCTGGGAGTGGGCTGCTCGAAAGAGCTCCTAAGCAGGAAGCAGCCTAATATTTACTACAACCTATTTTACCATATTAACCTGTATGACATTTCGTATCTCTTGCTATATTGGTGGCCCATGCTTCAAAAAATAACTTTCTGTGCGACAGCACAAGTTGTTCGAGAGGGCGATGGCGAGCTGCAGTGAATAAACAGAACCTGCAGTAAGGTCTGCTGCACCTTGCCCCAGTTTTGCGGGACGGGCCACAACAACCAGAGGTCGGGGAAAGATGATGAAAGGGCTTGCTCCCCAGCGAATGTTGCGATGAACGGAACGCGGCAAAACACACATGCGCATGTGCACGGAAGCGACTTGCATCCCTACACCTGTCTTATCCTACCCGTACTGCTGGGAATAAGACGAAACAAAGTGACAAAGTATGAATCAAACGCTGACCCACACGAGTGAAAGAAGTCAACGATGCCAACCTCAAGCCTCAACCCAACCTTGCGGTCCAGGCTCGAGTCCAACAGCAAACATCCCTCAGATCCCTCGAAGACTTACACCGCCAGACAAGCCAGGTGTCGCTGACATCTTGGCCCCGTCCCGACGTCAACACTGAGCTGCCACCTCTGTGTGGTTAGGAGTGCTGTGATTTTGGTGTGCGTCTAGCCGACGCTTCTCGCCACAGCTTAATGGACCAGGGGTAAGCCGGGTATAGTTGCTGGGGCCGTGATGCTTCGATCGGAGATGTTGCCTAACTGCATATCCCTCCATGAGGACTCTGACACACCATGTGGCCTGGATGATTCGGAAGGTATGCGCCCACATCATAGACGCGGCCTGTAACAGGATGCTTCTTCAGTTCGTTCTACGACACGCAGAGGAGGTTGATGAAACTGGCGTAGATTCACAGCCGTTGCTACACATGTTACGAGCTCAGGCTCTTGACCCAGACCGTGCACGTGACATACCATAGAGAACGCGGATAGGCACGCAACTTAGATCCAATCGCTGTGCCATGTGCGTGAACCCGGAGCAACATTTGAAACACGCACAGCTCACATCCATCCGGGCCTTCCACAGCCAAAAAACAGTGCTGATCTGTGTCCGCTTCAGCAAATGCTGCCTCGGGCTCAGGGCACCCCGAATCACAGCTTACTCTTCTCCGCACTACGGCCTTGTCTTGGATGGTTCCTTCGGAGCTCATGGAACAGCTGGACAGCGATAGCAATGACCCAAGTGGCCAAGGTTTTCAGGGTAAGCTCCACGGGCGGCGCTGCAACTGGTTCCGGCGAGGCAGGGGTGGCCTTGGCTGAGTGGAGGTGGATTTCGCAACAGAGGAGAGCTTGAATGTGGTAACTACGCCCTGTGGCCATGTGGCAGCGAATGGGATTCCAGAGCTGTGGTCAAGGTGCAATTCACGTCACGTGCTACCCATGGAGCCAAGGCCACAGTGGGATGCCACAGTTTGACGAATGTGCGAGTATAAGTAATGCAGGAAGCATAAGTGTAGGTGTAGCCAGAGCGACCGGAAAGCCCTGAGTCGCCAATCTACACGCTCAGATGACCATGGCTTGCAGCCGGCATGACGCGTGCCCGCGATGTGGCATCACGGATGACACGCAGCTCCGACAGGAGCTCGCGGTGTAGTTCCTGCACGCTTGGACCAACACCATCACCACACTACCGTCGGTCATGTGTGCGTGTGTGTATGCGTGTGTGTGTGTGTGTGTGCGTGCATGCATGCGTGGGTGTGTGTGTGTGTGTGTGTGTGTGTGTGTGTGTGTGCGAGTGCTTGAAAAGCAAATTCGAGTGCGCTTCCTGCTGTGTACCTGAGTTTTCATCCAATTGCCGTCAGCACCACCGATTGCACCCCGAGTGCCTGGCAACCCGAAGCCCGGAGCCCTATTCCCTGGGTCCTGGGAGGGCAGCTTCTCGGAGACAGTGTTCACATGGTTGACAAGCAGAGGGATGTCATGGGACGGCCAAGGCTGATCCTCGACAAGGGCTGGGACCAGGGCCTTAAAGGGCTTTTGGCTACAAGGACATACCAGAAGCTCTGTGATGATGTTGACGATGATGATGCCTTGCATGTTGTGGCAAACGATGTGTCTGCATCTGCAGTGCCGTTCACTGAGGTTCGCCGGTTTTTCTAAAGGTGCCAAGGAGGGAGGTGCTGAGGCCTTGTGAAAACAAAAGGCCTAGCATGCAGCATGACCACGACTTGTGTAGCCGAGAGTTCTCCGGCTTTCGGCATGTACAGCATGGAGGCACGTAGGCCGGCATGCTCCTCCTCGCCCAACCATCTCATTCATTTGCGGCGAAGTGGCGGGTGCATCTATCTCAGCCTTTCTTTTCAATTTTCGCATTATCCACTTGCCCCTCCACGCTGGAGCGAAGGATACTACCGTCCAGGTTTGCTTGGCCTTGGCCGATCTTGGCCGCTCACTCTCCAAATCAAAGCTGAACTATAACAGCCCTTGACAGTCTGACAGGTCTGCAAAACTGGGAAATAGCAGTTCAGCTCAGCAGCTGTACCAGTTTCTCCGGAAAAGAAAAGGACTGCGCCGACCCGGCGGCCGAAGCTGCCATGCTCCTTTTCCAGCCGTCGCTGTAGGGTTGGTTCGGAGGGACTGTCCCCACGTTCTGTTGCTCCCTAAACTGTAAATCCGTACATGCATCAATGGATACGATCGGCCTCTCGTGCCTGTATCAACGCTTCCTGGGTTCTCATTCATGTTGACATGTTAAACTGCCTCGAATGCTCTTTCGTGGACTGGGTTAGGGCCTGCTGGACTCTAAGTCTGAGCAAGGTCCCAGCTGCATCAAACAGACCGGTCAAGTGTAAAGTATGCTTAGACTGGAAGCCGCCTTCATCAACATGCACGCTGAGCACTTGGTGCGGCGCCTTGAGTTGGAGGGTGTCGCACATCATGGAGATGCCCCCACTAGGGCCTCTCAGCTTCCGCGGCTTGTCGAAGTCAACATAAAAAGGGCGATCACCAGTCCTCTCTCTAAGACTCGCTACACATAGCCCAGGCTGTACTCCACACATCCCCCAATCCTGTCGGGCAAGTACCTAAGAGGTAACCCGTGCGGAGAAGACCAGCCGCTCGCAAAAGGATTCCCTCTTGCGAGGTACCTCTAGGACCTAGGACCTAGAAGCTGCCTCGCGTAACCCCGCGAAGACAGGGTACAGGGGCGGATTGGAAGGTATCCAACGCACGTGAGAAGATGCCCTTTCGCGCGGTGCCTCCAGGAGGTACCCCACGCAGGCAACCCACGAAGAAGAGGAAGGGTAACCGATGCGGAGGACAGGGTGGGAAGGTGTGGCGGTGTGTGTGGGCAGATATCCAATTCCCTCTTGCAGAGCCTCTCCTGGAGGTACGCAAACTCTGTGCAGGTAGCCCGCGAAGGGAAGCAACATCTCATGCTCATGAGGTCTAGTTGACAGGTATTGAAAGAAGACGCAACATTCCACATCCACCAGCTCTTGCAGGGCACCTTCTCAGGTACCCCGCGCATGTTCCCGACGGAAAGAGATATTGAAAGAGGAAGCAACGTCCCACAACCTCTATGATAGTTGCCAGGTACCTAACCCACAGAGGTATTTGAGGCGGGCGAAAGGATCCAACCCACGCGATCCCACGCGGCGGAACCCCACGCAGGCAACCTGCGGAGGGGTATATTGCAAGAGGAAGCAACATCCGACATTATAGTTATATAGTGATAGTTGACACATACCTGACCGGGTACGTAATGACGTAGCCGGGCCGCAACATGCAAGAACTTGAAACTCTCGACTCCCGATCTGCGAAGCTGGTGGCATTTTAAGCGTTTGGTGGCCTCTGTCGTGCTCCGAAAAAGCCAGCGCCGTGTCGAAGCCAGCGTCTTTGAAGAAGTGCAAGCGCCGTTTCTTGGTGAGGTGTAGGCTACAGGAGCGAGGCTCGGCAGAACCTGTGGTTCGGAGGAGTAGGGTGCGAGTTTGAACGACAAGGGCTAACCTGGCAATCAACTAACTCCCAATGAGCTGTAGGCAGCCGCTTGCGGTCTCCTGCAAATATGACTTGCGTAAGGTTCTGGCATGTCTTACCAAACTTTCAACCTGTTTTCAGCGACACTCTCTGAATAGGATGGCGTGGAATCTACAACAAGTCGTTCCAAATTCATTACAGCAGGTGCTATGCCGCTGAACTCCGGCAAACCTCTGGGGTCGTCCCCGTCCCAGCCCAGCGGCGAATCGAAGCATATCCTGCATGGCTGGGCGCGGTGTGCAGTGGAGCTGGTTGGTTTCTTATGGTGAGTCGGATGGAGGAGACTTGCGGCCTTCGGCTTATGGGCAATGAGCGCCTCCTTCACCAAGCCATGGTTGCTTTGAATGAGTGCCTGAATCGATGGAAAAAATGATGGCTACACTGTGCACTGCAGGTGGCTCCTTCTGACGAAAGTCTGAGTTGCTGTAAGACGATCGGCACAGTTGGGTGAGCCTATGTGCGATTTCATTAGAGGCTCTTCAGAATGCAGGCTGGGACAAGCACATGCCGACGCTGAGTTTGTTTCCAGCCGTTGCAAAGTTTCGGTGCTGCTGCCGCTGTAAGGTGCAACCCTGTCGACTACGCTCCTCGCAAAATTGCATCAAGCTGGTTGCCCGAAGTCCTCCATGCGGAGCACGAAGCCTGCCCTGGCCTCTCAAAGGAGCTGCGCAATACTTGTCTGCAGAAATGTGGGTATGGAGGTGACACCAAGCTCAAGCAAATTTCGGACGAGACCGGAAGACATGCTCTCACCACCTTTGATCGTACTCAATCTCAGTACAGTGTGAATGAAACTGGGGGACTGTAGATCCAAGACTCGAATAGGGCTTCACTGCCTACTTGTGCTTGGCGCATGCAGAGGCCTTGATCGCAAGGCCCAGCGTCATAGATTCAGCTTTCGAGTAGGTTGACACCTGGTGGCCGTGGCAGTCGCAATCAGTAGAATCAGACTTGGGGTTTCGACTCGCGCACTCGCAAAGCAGGAACGGATTCAAGCGACAGGGTCTGATCTTGAGACTTAGGGCTTAGGGACGGGGCGAGCAAGATCCGCACGACAAGACGAAACATCGCTCCAAATAGTATCGTCATGCTTGAAGTGGTAGCCATGGGTCCATCGCCGCGATAAGCACGTTGAGTATCGGAACCACTGAGACCCACCTGCAAGCATGTGTCAAAGCAAGCATTTAGCCTCATTGGTCGTAGCAGCAGAAATCTCAAAGAGTCGCCACTCTTTCTGCCAAGTGGCAAAGCTCCCAAGTACACGATGCGAACAACTGTATCGACGGCATCTGTGGAGTCGTAGTACGTCAAGTCCTGGGGACGAAAGCTTGGGACTGTGAAACTCGCCGTGTCAAACCACTCAGGATATGTAGTCACACGCATCTGCTCCGTTAAGAACCCCCGCAGCTGTGATGCAAACAAGGTGGCTGTGTCTGTACCGACGCCCAGGACCTCAGCTGCAGGCAACATCAACACAACCATGTGCGACCCAAAATTTCGCCGAACTACAGCTGTAATCCTGTGCGTCTTTCCCGTCTGAATATCTGGGCGAAGGTGGTGCATGGCTACGCAAAAGGCCCCGGCGTGGGCGAACAAGTTGTACGCGCTGGAGAAGCCGTTCTGTGGCCTCGTGGAAGGAACCAGGTGGGGCTCGAATCATGCATTCGGTTCTTATATTAGATCTCGGCACAGCTTTCAGAACAGTCCAACACTTGACTGCGCTTCTCAAACTGGAGCCAGCAAATACTTAGCAATGCTCTCCGTGTATGCACGGCTTTGTTTTTGTGTTGGGCTGATGTGCAGAGGCCGCGAAATATGCGAGTATGGCACATTCGATGACCGGTGTTAGCAGAACGACTTTTTTGAGCGATATGCTCGCTACTGCAGTAACATCAAAAATCCTGGTTCGTTCATGAAGAGATGTTCTACACGCGTCCTGTCCCAGAGTCCTACAATAGTGGACAGTGGCATCACTTCTCGATGGGCCTGGTCTCATCGTCCTGAAGCTTGTGCAGTGATGCACCTGCATGTCGGGTGTTCGAATATGCTTCGGCAAGAAATGGTTCAGCCCTGTATGGCTGCCAGTATGTAGAGCGATCCCACTGACATACCCGCCCCGGGGTTGTGCTTTGTCTCCGGGGTCTTTTTAGGAGCAAAGCTGGTTTCAGGTTGTGGTGTACGGTGTGGGCGACAGCTGCAAGATCGGACTCAGCGTGCAGATTGGTGATTGCAATCCTCGAAATTCCTATGCTTCTTGCCTCAGTCTCCGAGCTGGGAGCTGCACACCCGCCCGGTCCCCAAGTACAAGTATCATCTGAAGAAGCGTGGGATTATGTTACGGCCGCTACAAGTAGGGCTCCTCTCATAAATTTCAGCTTGGGGAGGCGATTCTTGATTCCCAACATGTTGATCACGCATGATAATGAAGACATGCTCGGCATCAGGCTTTCTCTGACAGCTGACAGGCGAATCCGTAGCAGATTTCGCAGAAAAGCTGCTATGTGCAAGCAGAGACTGTCCTGCATATGAGACAATGAGACGTGAGTGCATGCGGACACTCCTGGAACGTACGTAGCAACCATAAATCCAGACAGACACTCATGGAATCTACGTAGAAACAGTAAATTCTTAATTATGTGAGATGTGAATGCATACAATCACGCCAGAGAATGAGTTGGCGACTCTGTAGCAAATATCACGAAAGAGCTCTGATCAAGAGAAAGGCACCGTTGCATAGTGCTCAATGTTTGGCAGCTGGCTTCTTGTGGACGGCCTGGCCAGCCTTTGCAGCAGCCATCGACTTTCTGGTGATCCACGACCGCTGCGCTGGGGTGCCTTCAAGTGTCGATAGATCCACAGCCGACGGGGGTGCTTTGAACACGTCCTTCCATCCCTCTTCTTTGTACTTCTCCGTCCACCTCTTTCCGAACAAACTTTGCAGCTGCGGACTGAGGCACGCCCATCGCACGATGTACATCGGATACATCTTCATGCTGATGGGAAGGTGCGGGCTGCCTTTTGTTGTCTGGAGGAGGCGTCTTATGAGCCGCGGTTCGCCGACCAAAGACCCCAATGCAGTCACGGCGGATTGAAATTCAGCCCAGGTCGCGAAGGTTCGCATTGCCACCTGCGGGATCTCGGACTGGGTCTTGGCAGAGGGAGTCTCACCGAGGGCAGCAGCAACACTGCTTAGTACAGAAGCCACTGTCCGGAAACTCTCCGGAGCGATGGCTTGGGTCGTCCGCTGCCAAGACGACCAGAACCTCCTCGGTATGCCATCAAACCCGCAGGCGGCATCTTTACTAAGGACTGCAGGAAGCTGCAGAGGTCCTCTGTCCACACAGACAAATCGTACCACGCAAAGTAGTGGTGTGTGTGCTAACCTTTTGTGCTTGGCCAGAAGAGGTGGGAAACATCATACGTGCTATGCAGCCACCCATGGCAACACTGCTCAACAGAGCATGCAGACCCTTCAACCAACAGAAGTGCTCTCAGCTCTCCTTGTACTTGCACGAGCCGTTCAGCAGTATTCTGAGGTTCTTCCATGTGCTGTGGCCCACCTTGAGGAGCTTCACATCCTTGTAGGCGATGGCGTAGACAACGCCAACAGCATCGGTTGACACTGGGAAGCACGTCGACAATTGCTGCAGCCAAAGTGACCTTAGAAACTTGAAGAGCTGAAGACATCGACGTGAAGCCTTGTAGCTTGCCATACCAGGCAGCTTCTGCTCACACCAGGTAGCGGCGACTGCTCGGAGTGTCTCCTTCGTGTCCGTGGTGCTTGCGAGAGACTGCATGACGAACACAGCCATGTTCTCGCACAGCAGAACCTAGAAGGGAGGATTGGCCTATCGCGAGCAATCTGATTAGGGGGGTTTCCCCCCTATTATCCAGGCCTCCAGGTCGCTCAGGTCTGTCACTTGTAGGCCTTGACCACCAGCCACCACGGTTGGGACTTGCACCGGTTCTTGTCGCCCTAGGCCTTGTAGCAACCGAAAAGCTTCTAGCAATAAAAATAGGGGGGTTTCCCCCCATTATCCCAAAACGATCGCGACGAGCCAATCTGAGGGAGGCTAGGAAGCATCCCTCAGATTAGACTTTGGACAATCCAGGCCTCCAGGTCGCTCAGGTCTGTCACTTGTAGGCCTTGACCACCAGCCACGTTCTTGTCGCCCTAGGCCTTGTAGCTCCCGAAAAGCTTCTAGCAATAAAAATTGGGGGTTTCCCCCCCATTATCCCAAAACGATCGCGACGAGCCAATCTGAGGGAGGCTCCGAAGCCTCCCTCAGATTAGACTTTGGACAATCCAGGCCTCTAGGTCGCTCAGGTCTGTGAATACCGGGAGCGGGGTCACAGGAGTTGGCAGCATTTCAGCAGGAAGTTTGCTGACTGTAGTGAAAAGCTTCTCCTTGTGGTTCTTCAGTGCCGCCTCGTCCTCGGGCATCAGCTGCGGCAAGTTCTGATGGTGATGCGTGTCCAAAAGGTACTGAAGAAATCCTCTGAGCCATGGGTAGCTCCCTTCGCCTATATAGACGAAGGGAGAAGAGGAATCCTGCTGCTTCACTGCCTATGGACTCGGAACTGGAGCTGCTGACTGTAGTCCTTGCACAACTGCTGACGGACTCTGAGCTCCAAGCGCTTCAGGCACCTCCACTTGTATAGGCCTTGACCACCAGTCACCACGGTTGGCACTTGCACCGGTTCTTGTTGCCTTAGGCCTTGTAGCTCCCGATAAGCTTCTAGCAAAGCTTCGGCTTTGGCCTCGGCCCTGGCTTGTGAAACCTGAGCTTCCGCCCTGGCTTCAGTTCTGGCTTGTGCGATCTCGGCCTGATGGCGCTTTTCGCGGCTCCTCATCAGCCCTTCGCCGCTCCTCTTTGGCGTTGTGTCTTTCCTCTTTAGAGCGATCCATCAAGTACTGAACGATAACTCTTGCATCGTTGTTGTACTCTGCTTTGAGTGCAAGCGACTCTTGGCTCTGCTGCGAACCCTCCGCTGTTCTCTGCCGCTTGACCTCCACTGCTACGCCTCCACGACGACGGCCTAGTGCCTCCAGCTCGTGCTCTGTAGCCTCCTGGGTTTCAACTACGGCCACTGGTGGCGGTCTCTTGGCAGGTGAAGACTTTGCTGCAGTACGTTTCGGAGGCGGCGACGACGTACTTGGCGGCCACGAGCGTTCATGCAAATTTATCTGCTGCGTGGACAGCAACAGTCCTTGGCGGCGCAGCTGCTCTTCGTGGATTGTCTCTGGGCCCACTCCGGCTGGTGACTCCTTGTGAGACGTCTGGGAGCTCATCAGAGGACGGTTCTCTCTAGGAGCACCCCATCTGGGATGAGCGCCCTCTGAAAAAAAAGGGGCTGCAAAGTGTGAGAAAGCAGTAGAATCGAAATTGCATCTACTCGGAGACTGAACTACAGCTTTGATTCCTCCAGGAAATGGTGTGAGCTGCGCCCTCCACTGAGCTTGGCACCCACAGCAATGAGCCAAAGCCCCAGGCCCATCATGAAGCGCAGCGCATCCTGTCGCAAGGGCGGAACAGTTGAACAAAATTTCTTACTAGATTCACTCATCGTGGCAACTAATGCTCAAGGTGTAAACATCCGATGGGCCCTAGGAGAGGCTTTGTGAGATCCTTGAAGATTCTTGATCACAAGGAAGGGTCGGTTCTCGAAGTGCAGCAGCTCTGGCAGAACAATCCTCCATCATAGCCTTTCCCAGTAAAACGACAGCCGCCATCTTTCCATGCAGCCTTGGAGCCGAGATTAGCATGGAGGAATGAACCGACAACTGGGCGTGGGCCCGGTGTGGCTTCCTTTGGACACGAACCCTGACACAGGGACAGGCGCTTCTGGGCTGGTGGTTTGGGATATGAATCTGATATGATTGCCCGTCGAAGAAACGGGGAACAGTTTTTTCACTCTTTGATTTTAACGCCTGCCGACAGGCCAAGCGTGTGATACTGGAGGATAGATCGCGAAGGAAAGAGAAAGACAACGAACCGCAATGTGATGATCAGCTCCGAATCGCTCGGGTCGGCGACCTGCGTGCTGATTCAGAACATGATGCGCTGCGAGCTGTCCGAATCCTCAAGGGCTTCTGGGTTCTTTCTGGTTCAATTCTCAGGAATGTGCCTTCAGCTTTCCCCCAACACAAGCGGCCCGGAAGCTTGAAAAGCTCGGCCATCTGGATCCTGGGCTGAGGGGACCCAAGTGCGAAGGATGGCATCTCAGGTTTGCGATTTTCAACCGAAGTCTGCGTGCGAGGCGACTGTGGCTGCTTCGCTTAGGGCTTAGGTGCCGAACTTGGGCAATCCCGGCTAATCCCTTTATTTATCGTTCATACCATCAGGCTTCTATACAGAGTTTTCAAAGGCGAGGCGAGATGCCACTGGAGGAAGGCCACGCTGGCCGACAGAACTCGAGGCGACGCATGGTCTCCATCCAAGCAGCTCGCATCTGAGCCTTGCAAGGACCCCAACTATGGCTATTGCCTCTAAACATGCAGACTGCGCAAACTCGACACAGCATCCAACCATGGTACGGTACTTAAGGCATTGTGGGCAAGCTGGGACATTGCAGGCCGTTTTCTGTAGAACCTACCTTTCCAAACCGCTGGTCCTCAACGAAAGTCGAACCACAACCGTCAATTTTCTGTCCAGCTGCTGCTATCGAAGCAGCTCACCACCATGGTCTCGATCAAGAGTCTAAGTAGCAGAGACTTGTCCATGCCAAAAAGCCTCTTAGAGTGCACCATGTTGCTCTTTGTACTGGGGCTTCCTTGCACTACTTCCTGAGCAACAACAGCACCAAAGTCGCCATCGTTGTCTGTAATTGCATCTACGGAAAGGCTTTGGACTTTGACTGTCGCGAGCCCTTGGACAGGCCTGCATTTGTGCACTAGCGTGCAACTTGGGATCTGACTTCGTGGGAGAAGGCATCAGTCGTCTGTATTTCAAGCAATCAGCCGACTTCTCTTGTTCCGACAGCTCGGGGAGCAGGAAGGGCATGCTGTGTCTGAGGATTCATGAGAACGGATGGGCCCCAGTCGATGCATGCGACCAGCCACAGAGAGAGGAGGCAGCAAACCAGCCGCAGCTGCACGAAGAATTGACAAAGACTCCGTGGCACCTGCGGGGCTGTGCAAGGAGTCCGCTGGCACGCAGCTTTCGGCTTCTTGGCGAGTGGATCAACGACTGCATGAACTTACGAGATACCCCACCCGCCTAATGGGGCCTAATACCATCTCATTGCATGCAGCACTTTCTGAGGATCAGGAGAAGCTACTAGGACTACGTGATTAACATTCCAACGCAAGCTGCAGCATTCTCTGCAACACGTGGGCGAAGCACAGCAATGCTTGCACACGACCAGACACATACTCCGTGAAGCAAGCCTTGAGCCGGCAAAGCTTGAAGTCCTCGGCTAGAGAGCAGTCGCATGCGTCGGGAGAAACAGGGGTTCGTTGGCTTCAACTGCGCAGATACCCAACAAGCCGTCCACGTGTGGCAGTGCCTCAGCAGCATGAAACACCCATTCCCGCAAATTCCTCAGACTCAAAAGCTTTGTGCTGCCAGTGGGCCAGTGAAGTGCACCGCTGGGTGCACGCCTCTTGGTCGCAGAGTCTTTGTCTCTAGAAGCTTAACGCATTGTCGGCTGACAGTAGCAATGTCAGCATGGTGCTAAGTCCTTGCATGGATGAGCATGATAGAACGCAACGATGATATCCTCTCGCGTGTCTTACATGCACCAGGGCAGTTGGCCAGCTGCAGTGTCTGCTGTGGTTGACTGCACATGCATCGTCGACATAAATTCGCCTGTGGCAAGCTACATCATGCCAAACATGATTCCGTCAGCCAGGGCATGTAGATGGCAGCCGGTCTACTTAAGCGCATGCCAGATCGACCATTGAACTACGGCGTACAGCGTGCAGCAGCCAAACTTTGCCAAATCCCGGGATCCCCGCCTCCCACGCGGCTATGTAAAAACCGTGCGCCAGCTGAACGGCAGTTATCCTGAAGGATGCTGGGATTGAAGCTAGACAGGCGCTGCAGGCTACACCTGCATGTGTATCTGGCGTGCCAGTGACACTATTCGAGCTACTCAGACTACATTCCCAGACCTGACGCACACCTGATTCGCTTGCGGGGTGGGGTGCGTTCCCCAGAGAGCGCAGGCGCAAAGGCGTAGCCAAAGAGACAAATCACCGGACATACCTTAGATGCTGGGCTTATCAGCGTTTGGGCTTGGGTTTTGAGCGGCTGGAGACAGCTGGAAGGGTCTGAAGTCTCACCAGCTGCCAAGACCCTGGACAGCCTGGAGCTCTGAACATCCCAAGGCCGATAGCTTGACACGGTCCCCGAAGATTCCAGTTGCGTTGAGGAGGAGTTTAGCGTACCACGATGCGAGGCATCGGCAGCCTCACTGCGCCAACTTCGATGCGTGTCGCAGCCGAGCTGCTGACGACAAGGTACGAGATGAGACAGGTGATCTGCTGCAGGGAAACCTGACTTCGCCGTGCCCCGGCCGGGCTTGCTTTTCAGTGAACATGGCCCTTGGCCCAAGTTTGTCTTCTCATTGGTTCAGGGTGTCGACTCGGAGTGCTATGAACATGGCAGCTTGCTCGTACTCAAATGCTGTATGCAGCCCGGCACACCGCTATGAGCCGCCTTCGTCCAAACTGGTGCCACTTGAGGTTGACGGTCTCCTCGTGCTTGGCAACTCTATCCAGCTTCTGTGCTGCAAATATGGGACGCAGCAACTAACCTTGAATCAAGAGGCCCACTTCAGACAGCTTGTGAGGGGAGGCTGGGGGCTGAAATCCTCGAATCAACAGGGGCAAGCTCAATGGCCAAGGCACCGAGATGACGGGGTGCCGGAAAACCTGCGACGAAGCATTCGGGGTATGCAGACTCAATTCACACGCGCCCAGGGGTGAGTGGTGCCGATGCTGCCTGGTAGATTTTGCATATTCCTGGCATGACGTCATGTTACAGTGTTGGCTGCCGCAGTCTCCGCCGCTTCTTGTTCACATCATCACCACCGTCATCTTGAGTTCTCCCGACCATCACCACCAACAGCAGTCCGCACGAAGCAGTAGCACCTGGTTCAGTATCTCACAGCAATTCCCGTCTGCATCGGCTGGGTCTCAATCTCTTAGCATTCATCATTCATCTGTGAAGTTTGAACTTGTCGAATGTCATGAGATGGTCGCGAAGCTTGCGCAGCACAAGCTCACATTAGGGCCTTTAGGATGGATGTTGATGCGTGCCGTCGCGGCCAAGTACGAGGCTTCTCAACAGAAAATGTCATTGGGCTAGCAATGACAATCCAACCGAAGCTTCGAAGAGGTTCAGAGACTTAGTCACAACTGCCCTCGAAGGCATTTGGCCCTTCGCCTCTTGTTCAGAAACCCCTTCTCTTGGAGCTCTACACCGCACCTCGATGTGTGTCTCAGGCAGTCGCTCAACCAAGGTCCCCAGGGGACCTGCGAACACCTCAGGATCTGACTGTGGAAACCCAAAACACAGCACAAGCAACGAGGCTTTTGTAACTTCCAAAGCCTCGGGTCTGACCGAAAACCGCTAGGGTTGAAGATCTCTTTTCTCCGCTCATGCACCAGGGAAGAATCCCGAACAGAGCTCACAAAACCCCAGGAATCTAAACCAGGCCGAGAGGCATGCTCCAACTCTTCCTGGAATTCTGAAACAGTTGGAACACACTGAAACAGAAGGGTCGGCTTCAGCTCTTTTCCAGCCTTACTAAATGTCTGATGCCGTTCGTGCATGGCCCTACCCTTGATGTATCCCAGCACTGAATGAAGGTGGCTCGTATAGGCCCACTTGCAGCATAGAAGCAGGGTTGCCGTAGATGTACTGCACCTTGGACTACGAACGAGTCCGGCATGTCTTACCAACATCTGGTGCCTGCAGGTGCTTTATAAGCCACAACCAGGCTACTCGGCTTCAGAGCTCGAGAGGCCAAGCCTCCTTTCCTGCAGGCACTTACGCACAGCCTGGAGCATCGACAATGAAGATGCGCAAGGCACCCAGAGATTGACTCGTCGCAAGCCGTCCGTGGTCCTGCACTTGAGGCTGATTGTCGTGAGGGGTCATTCGAAGTTGACAGGTGTTACAGAAATCCCCGGGAACATGGAGACATAGAGAGACAGAAACAAACAAACGACAGAAACACCGGCTGAAGCCAGGAGTCTGCGAAGATTGCGAAAACCAGCCGAGAGGCTCGCGGCTTACCCACATGTGGCCATCCAGCAGCGGCTCCAGTAGATGCGGGGCAAACCTTCGAGGAGTTTCGTCTCTGGAGCAGGTGCCTACATGTTGCAAGAGAGGATGGTCTGAAACGCTGGTTGCAATGCAAGTGATGACATCAGCTACTCTGGTCGGCTGCTGTTTGCATTTCAACCCCGAACCATTGACAGTAGGCAAGCTGCTCTACCAAAGCATCGAGAATCGCAGGGCAGCGTTTCCAGAGATCGTCGACGCCATAGTAGAAGCACTGCCTTGCAGACGAGAGCTTCGATCAAGAGATAGTCGGATTCGGAGCCCAGGCCCAACCAAGTATCGAAAACCTAGAGGGTGAAGGTGTCAGCCAGCTTGTCCTTAAACTTGGTTTACGCAGGGTTTCGCATCAATCCGGCCCGGAAGTCTCTGCTGCATGGCCCACTGCTTCGATAATCCTTGCCACGCCTGTGCAAACCTCGTGGATCTCTGAGGGCCAAGCCGGTCTGCACGGATCGTGAGAATGTCGCTGAGAAGTATTTCAAGCACCTCACAAGAATGCCGCGCACTCGTAGCAACAGGGCCGGGCCAGTGCTGGGGCGGATGCCTCGAGGTGCATATCTCGAAGCGCCCAAAGAAGCGGCGACAGCTGTCGCCGCCCAACTCCTACTTGGAGAGCACCTGGGATGCTTGACATAGACAAGAGCTTCTATCCGCAAAAGTACCCGCACAGTCAAGAGTGAGGTAGCTCCATGGAGACGAAAATCTAGACACAAAGCGGAAACCTCTTAGTTGGAACATGCGACTGGCCGCGCGTTCGCCGCGTGGCGCCTTGCTGAGAGCTTCCTGTCCCATGTGAGCTGTCTTAACATGTTTGCGGCGTTGGCACGGGAACTCATTCAAGAGCAAAGGAGAGTCTGCGATCCAGGAAGCTAAGGCTACTCAGCTACTTGTGGTCAATGCTTTTCAGAAGGCGTTGCCTCTTGTCAAGCAAAGCTACATTCTTAGCACCCCCTCTCCCAGTCCCCGGTCCCAAACCCCAAGCCCCGAAACCCAAGACCTGCGGTGCCTTCACTTTCTTGGTGGAACCTTGTAGCAGCGCGCTGCTAAGGCTTGTCCGCGAGCTATCAATGGCCTTGCGGACTTGAGATACTCTCCGCATACCATGTCAATACGGCATAAAATTTCGCAGCTCGCCTCGGGTCGCTCCTTGAATACATGCGTTGCGGTGGCCTTCTCTTCGCTTCATATTGCAAATTTATATCCCTACATCCTGTGGGATCTGAAAGGGCTTCCATGTGATCTGGTGGAGATGAAGAACTGGTCCATGTTCAGGTTTCGAGCCATGCTGCTGAAGAATCTCGAGCCACAGTTGTAGCCCAGTCTTACAAGCAGTCCTTAGTGTTGTTGTCACCATTCGTCGGAGGGAAGATGTGCGAGATGTGCATAAAGAGGGCGAAATGCCACAGGCAGTATGGGGAGAGGGATCGATTTCCAGCAAAGGCTTAGCTTAGTTACTGACATACATACATACATACATGCGCATGCAAGCATGTATTAAAAAGTGTTTATATGGATACACATACATATGGATGGCCTGACTTGCGGGCAAATCCATTAATGGATCTGAATGTCTCCCGATGTTCCTGTGAACTGCACACGCAGCAGCTATGAACGGGAGAAGGTCCGAGGCTCATGTTTGGGGCCTCGGCTGTTGTAAGTCCGGGATATGACAAGGTTTCGGCGATGCATTGGGGTCCAGGGACCAAGACCGGGAAAGGCTGGCCTCCAGGAAAGTCTGCGAAGCCATGCCTTAACTGTTTAACTTGCCAACAAAGATGCCAGGTGAGCGTGAAAGTCATGCTTGGCGATCTCAGACCATCTTTTGAGGGTAAAGGGAAAACCAAAACTTGAGGCCCCGGAAGCGAATCAGAAACTCCAAAATTTCAAGCGCTTTCGCCAGGTTACCGTAAAGCATTGACCAAGCCTCTGTGTAGTCGTTGCACCACGCCTTCCGCATGGTCAGCTACAGTCAACTCCCTCACTTCAAGGTGTAGGGCTACATACCGCTGTCAAGACGAGACCTCACAGGTACGAATCTCGACACCTGGCTGTGACACTGACACCTCGCTCTAGGAATGCTGTGTTCGGGCTGTGACTCTGGATCCGGCACACCATGGCACGCCTGTCCACCAGCTTCTGCCAGCGTCTCCAGCAGTATCTGCCCGAATATCTCAAAGTGCCATGCTTGCCTCGGAGCTAGGCACACATGCGGCTTCGATCTTCGGGCGTGAAGATCGAACCGTGCATTGCGACTTTTTTGCAACGAATTCGGCAATCGCGTCGACTCTCAACCCTTCGGTGACTGAACTTCTTCTAGAACTTGACAGCTGGTCTGCCGTCACGGGGCAAGTCGAACTTGCAGTGCATGACGGAAATCTTTTCCAGTTCCGTCCTCGTCTCAACGGAGCATAAGACTTGCAATTTGATGCGGTCACGTAAGGCTTAATACAGGGGCCTTAATAATTAGAACAGGGTTTCGGGGCCCATTATACTATAATTATTATAATAAGGAACCCCCCAAAATAGTATTGGTAATTCGTAAGGCCCCTATGTTAACCTCATTCAGCTCTATGCAACTCTTTGCAGCGAGGACCGATTGCTTTCTTAAAGCGAGCCTGAACTGAAAGCATTTGCCTGGTGGGCACAAGAGGACTAGTACGAGTGATACTATAGTCATAATGATAAGGACCCCTGCGAATAACAGTGGTAGTTATTTACTTATTTAGGAGGCCCCTACAGTAAAGAGATCAATCAGGACCATGTCGAGTCTAGCTGCCTGACAGGTCGCATGCAACTCGGCAGCTGACAAATCCGAGCAGCTCAATGAGGGAGCTGTCGTGGACACAATCCACCAGCAGCTGGAGAGCTTTGGCAAAAACCAAAGCAAGAGCTTCCTTGCAGCACGGATGTCTGAGTGTCCCAAACTGTGACAGGGCATTGCAGTTGTCGGCTGTGGAAACGCCTGTGCATGCCCTCTTCAGGTCCACCTGTGAAGACTTCAGCGTCCGCCACTCGTATTAAGAAGAAGCAAGATGTGTCTGTGAAGTTCCCCTTTGATTGGCCCTCTTTTACATTGACTGCGCTCAGTGCAGCACATGTACAAAATAGCAATTTCGCAGCGTCCGCGTTTGCGGAGCAGTGAGGTGGGGGGTTTTACGAAACTATTCAGCAGGAGGATTGGCACTGCATGCAGCCAGGGTGGATGCGAACAGCTCTAACTGATGCGCTGATCCTGGCACAGAACCAACGACTACTGCATAACTATGCACCGAGGATGCAAAAAGCAAGTCTGCGGCCTGGTTTCTCGCCTCAGGGGTGCCTACTTAAAGCTTCTGTCCTGAGCTAAGCCTTGCTGGCCTGAAGCAACCTCGGCAGGGGCAGCTTTCACACTGCTCCCTGAAAAATCTTTTAAAATCTTGCGCGTGCATATAACCTAAGCCTGAAGTCAGGCAGTTCAGAATGCTCAGCATGCGAGGCCTACCATGAAGTCGGGCTGATCCTCCACTAAGGAGCATCGAATTATTGCTATCAGGTTTCAGCCGTGCTGGTTCATGATGGGGAGCCCGAACTCAGACTGGGCAGCAGCATGTCGCCGCTCGCGGTTCCGCCGGCGCTTGTCACTCCCATCACAGAGGTGACAGAACAAACATGTTTTGCCACTGGCACAACCCTTGTTGTAGAAGAAAGCGCATGGCTTACACTCACCTGTGGCATGGCCGCCGGAGCCAACACTGGGAAGTGCTGCGGATCCCAGGATCACCTGCAGTCTATGCAAAGACAAGACTCATGCGACGTTCCTAAAGTTCAAAAGCTTCAAGGACAAGGCAACCCTAAACACCTAAAGACTTGTGAGAAGGCCTTGGGCTTCATGGACACACTTGGGCTGCCCGTGCTCAGCAAGAGACCCTTTTGGTTCGGTGACTCGCACGTCCCGGGCAGGCTTTGGAATTGCTGGCTCCAAGCCCACGCGGATGGTTGGCTGGGGAGCATCTGGCTTTGCACCCCTTGCATGGCGTATGTCCTGCTTGGGGGGGTGGCGAAATAGGTGGTGCTTGGGGCTGGAACGGTTGCCATCGGCTTTGGCTGGAACATCTTTGCACTGCTGGACAGCCGCGTCCTGGCGGCGGCCTGATCCGTCGGATCGATCTGCTCCTTTGCCTGATCTTGCACAGGTGGCTCGCTGGGAGGAGACTTCGGAGCGACTTCTGGTGTCTGCACCGTCTGTGGATTGTCCTCACGGGCCTCTCTATGGCTTTCCCCCAAAACCGGACACGAGCTCACCCTCCGCAGGCCACGGATCTGCTCCGCTAGAGACGGAGCATCCTCCAAGTCGAGGAAGGTATTGCCTCCAAGGCAGGGCGGTGTTCTGGTCGTGGAACTCACAGACTTTAGGATTCTGACCAAACACACCCTTAGAACAGAAACCGTAGCAGCTAAATGTGCGACCATGTTGCGAATGTTCAGGTGCCCACTTAGCTCCCCCTCCCCAAGGCTGTGGCCCTTGGTGTCCGCCAAGCTGCAGCTCATGCTAGCAGCGGGCGGCCCAAGAACCCGATTTCTAAACTGCCCTGCAAAAAATGTCTGCGGATAGTCGATAGAACCTTGCTGGCGAGTGCTGCTTCAGAAAAACCGCCAAGCGCCAGTGAAGAATATTGTGACTAGTGCGCAGGCAAGACCAGAAGATGCCGTGCTTATGGACCGAGTTTGGCTGATACAGATACACTTTTTCCCGCAGGCCTTGCTACATTAATTCCTCCATGTCCTTTGTAAGAGGTCTGGATCGGTGGAAGCTGCCCATGAAAGGAAGTGCAGAAGAAAACCACTAGCAAAGTAGACAGGACCAGTTGCAAGAGGACCTATCCTGCAGCAACGGAAGCCCCGGCACCTTGTACGGTATCCTTTCAATCACCAAAACATCAAAGTGCAGCTGTGGCACGTCTCGTTTCTTGAACATGCTGCGAAAAACCATCACGCGATCCAACCTGGCACTAGCTCAACACACACTTGGCTTGCGACATGTCACGGCAGCCTTGGGGCCGTGTGCTGACCCGGCTAGGTCGGATTGTGCAATATGCAAGCTTGGCCCTGACATGCCCTGACTCCACAGCAACCGTAAAGTACCCTTCAGCCCCAATATCCACTTGCAGAGCATCGTCTCTCCATTCCTCAACCCAACCGCCACTGCAAGACAAAATTCGAGTATGTCCTAAGAACGTCCGAGTTGCAGGGTGTTGTGAAAGGTCCTTGCCACTTTTACCTCGGTGTTGTGAAACCAATCTACCAATCTCTACGTCCATCATCACGGCCATACTGTGTGACATTCTGCATGGTGGGCGAGTTTTCGCCTTCGAAAGCTTGATCTAACAACACATTTCCTAAGAAGGTTTCGGAGAAGGCAGATGAGAGATCGCTGTTTGGGAAACGCACAGTGTCCTGAACAAAGCCTGACAACCTACACAGCGCTATGCTTATTTTAAGTCTTAGGGTAGATTCAGCAAGATTTTCGAGGGTGGAGCCTTGGACAGCACTAGACAGCTAGAATCACGTAGAAGCCGCCACATTCCTGTGATGATATGGTGCGTCCCAGTCACTGCAGAATCTTGACGCTGCGAAATGACCTCCCACGAGGCCGTCAGTGATGTCTGCATGGTCTCCCAATTCACGAGCCTTGCGCGCTGTCAGGTGCACATGTCATCAAACCAACTGGATCCAAAGCACCCGGACTTAATAATTAGCTATGTACATATAAAATGGAAAACTCTTTCGTCGTGCTGTTGGCCACCTGACGTGGCTATGCCTCTCAACGGCTGACTCCGCGATGCAGGCAAGCGGCACTTGCACGAAGGTTCCTGCAATCCATTTCGCAGGCTACTGGTTTGCTGCCCGACCAAGGGCCATTCGAAAGTGTCCATCCGCAAATTGCACCACAGACTGAATGTCTTGCGCTAATCGCACTCGAGACAGGAGTATCTAGTTCGGAGTATCGGCCCAGGCACTCTCCACGATGTCCCATAGCCACTTCCAGGCCAGCTGGGCGCTTTCGAAGGCAGCTGCAGAAAGGTTTGTCGCCAGCAGGTCGAAGAGACAAGACTCCTGAGCCGGATCCCTCCAGAGGCCGAAGTTGCGTGATCGACCCTTCCGCACATCGACTGTTCCCCCGAGAAGCAATACTAGGATGGTGAAGTCTGCTGAGTGCCAGGCGAAGACTTTGAGGTGCGCGGGCTTCACTCCCAACTCGACATGACCTTTTTCTGTCTACTGGCATCTCTCCGCTTCAACCACTTCCTCGGCACACTACCGCACACTGGAGTCCAACGTGCCTGGGACAGCTCGTGATACTTCTTCGCAACCCCACACTGACAAAGCTGCTATACTGCTGAAAGACACGGTTCAGAAGGTCAAAAAGGGCCCAACTGCAGCTCCAAGAGGCGTTGCGCCAATCTGAACAAGTTCCTGCAGCTGGGAGACGTTAATTTTTCACAAACAAATGCCATCTTCCAACAAGCTTCCAGGCAGCGAACTTGAAACAGCACAGCTCTACCCTATAAAGACCCTTCCAAGCGTTTTCCGGCTCTATAAGCATGGTTACCCTAATTATAAGTATGGTTACCCTAATTATAAGTATGGTTACCCTAATTATAAGTATGGTTACCCTAATTATAAGTATGGCTCCCCGAATAATAACCTTAGTTACTAAGTCAAGAGCTTACGGCTGACACCCTCAACAGGGGCCTCTCGAGCTCCTTGGGCCGCGTGGCAGTGGAGACCACGAGCTCCTCGCGACCGGGCTTCGGCGCTGAGGCGCTTGGCGGAACTAGCAGAATCGTAGAATAATAGTATGAGGTCCATTCTATAATTATACGACTATATACCATAATAATAATAGCTTGTAAGTGAAGTGGTGTCTACACGACAGCCCTTTTGAACACCATCCTACCATGCCCACTTGATCTGGGTCGTCGCAACCAACAAAGTAGATTCGACATCACTTCGACACAGTGGCCCGGCGGTTGTGGCACATGTTCCGACTTGTAAAGACTGTCGCGCTGATTCATGGAATGCTCAGCTCACTTGTCACAGCCAGCCGTCTGGCATGCACAGGCACGCGGCCCGTCGAGACACAGTCTATCAGATACTCTGCTACCAAGCTGGGGGAGGCACGAGTGCAGTGCCCAGTTTCTGTCCATGCTTCTCGCTCCAAACCTGGCACGCTTCACGGTGTCATGAAGCCAAACACCTCACAATGTAAGCTTGGGGTCTGGCAGGCTATCTGCTTCGTGTTACTCTCCGATTCCCAATAAACAAATGCTACTGCAGAATCCTAGCAGAATGGTATCCGTTTTTTGCTGCTGGACGCGTGCATGCCATCAGAACCAGCAACATCATCCAGTCCAACAGTGGTATTGGAAGGATGAGCTGCGTCTGCTGCATGAGAATGCCATCTCCACTGCTATGCGGATTTAACACCGTTTAAGCTCTCATGTTTCAGGGTCTCTTCTTAAACTCTTGCAAGTCTTGCAGCCCGATGTCGGCCACTTGAAGCAGCTTGCTGCGATGTATGATCTTTGCCATCTACGCAACAATTGGAGTCTTTTTGCGAATAGACCTTTCGCATGTTGCCCACGAGGGTAAAGAACCGAACAGAGTTGGCTGTGTTGGCGACAAGTCCTCACTCTGACTCGTGGCCCTTCGCACAGCTTAAGCACCCAATGGCTGAGGCTAGGAGAGAAACCAGCAGCAAGACATTCAACTTTTGCCAGCGGCACAAATTTGGTCTTCTCTTTGGACTGCGCGATGCCCTCCTGGCGGGGTGCGAACAGGTGGAAGCTGCGGTTGTGTACAATATATGTGTGTGTAAATGTACATATACATATACATGTACACACACACACACACACATCGTGTCGCAGGTCTGATCTGTCGGTGCATACTGTCAGGGAAAGTCAGCAGCTGTCAGGGAAAGTCAGAGGCTGCACGAAAAATTCAGAACATGTAGTCTTGAACAGGAACTGAGCAAGAAACTGACCGATGCAAGCCCTCACTCAAACACAGCTCGGAAAGGGGTTTGCGGCTTGGCCCCCGTGCCATTTCAATGCAGGTACACAATCTGGCGTCCCAGATTGCTTCACAGCACTTCTATCACCGTCTTCGTCGGGCAGTGGATGATAGAAGGCTCACTGCCCCCCTGCTCATTCGACTCAGATTTACCTACCCTTCGAAACAGGGATGGACACACACAGGCCCTCCCGGGCTCATTGCATCCGTTCAATCGCTTGCACAGCACTTGCATGACAATGCGCACTCACTTGTCCAGATCGCCACCAGTCCACCAGAAACCAATGCTCCACCACCAGCCAAGCTTGCACTTGCACGACACTTGCGATGCAGTAAAGCGGCGAGGTGCGTACTCTGACCCCTTGCAATGTAGACAGTCTTTGCGCGCTGTTTTTTCTCACCGATTTTTTATGGGAAAGTCTTATGCTCAAGAGACCTAGGAAAGTGGGCTACGAAACTTCAGGAAGCGTAGTCTGTGCACTAAGTGCAATTCGACTTCGGCTTCTTCCGCATCAGCATCGAAGTACATGCAGCACTGAGTTGCAGTTTGGTACGCAACGTTGGCCAGTGACACGATACTCACTCGCAAATGCTCCTGTACTAGGTCTACGACAGCTCTCATCCACCTTTTTGACGGGCTGCTCAACATGGTGCAAGCCACGGCATTGATTTGTACAAAACGGATGGTGGTATGCAAAGACTGAAAGCCCATGGTCAACTCAACCGAGGAGGACAGCCGAAACTCCTGTATCCCACGTCGCAGGAACGTGTACGCCACCATGGTGTCGGTTATGGGTTGTGCCTCTTCTGGGTCATCATTTTGATCGAGGCGAGTAATGAATGTGATTCTGGCTCTGATCGGCAACACGTACATCAAGATGTTCTCGAGCACGTCAGAAGCGGCCCAATCCATGTTGTTCGGGATCTACACAATTTTCAGAGTGCTTGAAACAAAACTCTGTTGAATGTCTGATGAAAGCAGCTCACAACACCGCAGCACTTGCACGTCTCTGACATGTTACTCTGCACATTTCTTGCACTGCACTTGCACGAACCTCGCACATCCCTTGCATATCACTTGCAATCCGCTTGCACGTCCCTTGCTCGTCACTGCTCTTGACTTGACACAGAGGTGGTCTCTTTTTATACCGTCACAACGAAATCGACTGGTTCGAGGGTTTGAGCAGTCGTTACAGGTTCCGTAAACCGAAGATGGCGAAAGTTTTGTACAAGCTGGAAGGTGTGTAACCTAGGCCACCAGCCGAACTTCTCCCAGAGCTGCATCGCGACAAGGTATTTGGCAACGTTGATGGAATCGTTGATTGATAGCTGGATGTGGAGAGTAATAGTCCCGTGTCCGGTTGCCCGACTGCATACACGAACCCACATCCGAAAAATGTAGTCGCGGCTCGTACTCCAAGGCAGATTGGCTTCGCGGGCCTTGCGCTTCATGTTGGGCAACCTACACAGTTTCACTGGATGCCAAATGCTGCAACTCAAGACGGGTCATGCAGAAAGCTGATAATGCACAGCACTGCAAACACGCACTCTTTAGTTTCTTTCACTTTCTTTGTGCAATCTCTCACTTTCGGTCAAGAACGTACTGCACAAGTTTCAAAGTGGACGAAAAACGCTTCCTAGGGCCTTGCTTTTCTTTGGCAATGCGTTGGCCATGCTGTCTCAAGAAATCGAGAATGAACTGAGCTCTGTTGTGAATGAAGAAATCGTCACCAAGCACTCTCGTGCCTTCCATTCTGCGGCGAAATTGGGTACTGGGTGCAGGACGAATCTTGATGCGCACACCGTCAGGCCCTTCATCGATCATACGAAGTTTGGGTTTCCGCGGTGGGTCCGTCTGCAACATGTTGGTGTGCTCTGCAACTGACTGCTTCGGCTTTGGGGCATGAACTAATCGACCAGAGGACGAAGACGCAGACTGTCGGTCAATGGATGAAGACGCATTAATACTCTCATGATCAAGATCAAAATCAGCCGAATCCGGATCACTGGCCAAAGGAACACCTGATGCCACATCTGCACGTCGATCACGTTCTTGGTCCGATACTGCAAGGTCTGACGAGAAGTCGGAAGAGTGCACGTCCGATACAGAGGCAACATCGCTCTCGAAACTGGACACCGACATGATGAAAAGCTACTTATACGGTCTGAATCTGTCTTGCAGTACAGGGAACCTTGAGGGCATGAGGCAGGACAATGTCTGCAGACGCTCACAACACATGGTGCCGGCAGATCGCTTGCATCACCCTTGCACATCACTTGCACGTCACTTGCACGTCCCTTGCACATCCCTTGCAACACCCTTGCAGTGACACTGGCGCACAGACGCTTGTTTGCAACTGCTCACGTTTCACTCTGAGACTTCAATCTCTGCTGGGAGCGTTGGGGGCAACTCTGTTGTTTCTTGTAGTTGAAGAGAATTAACACAATGGGTAGTCACAGATTGAAGAGAATGCAAATCCGTCAGCAAGTTGCCCACCACTTCGTTGGTCTTCTGAAGTTTCTGAAACAGTTCTGTGGTGGCGGACATGACTTCTGCCACCTGAGTCTCCGTGTCCCTGATTTGTGTGGTGAGCACGTCGAGTTGGGCTTGTTGGATCTTTTGGACGGATAAGGCTTCTTCGCGAAAGTGACGGAATTCACCTCTGATTGTGATCAGCTCCTGTTGTGTGTAGGAAATCCAGCGTTGAAGAGGTGCCAACGGATCGCACGCTGAGTTGCTCGACATTAGTGCAATGGGACGAGACTTGAGCAGGGTGCTGCAACACTGTTCTGGTATGCACTACAACATGAATGAAAAAGTACTCACAGCACTTGCATCCAATGCACATTCTTTCCTCACTTCAGCACTCGCATGCGTCACAGATACAAGCGAAATCCTGTCACTTCGGGCATACTCAGCTAAGATCAGACGATTGACTGCGTCGAAATCGGCGTGATTCACGCCTTCTGGTAGGCATGGGTTTGGATCTAATCGGAGTACCTGACGTAGCTGAAGATGTAGGTGCAGCCGCCGACGAAGCGGTACTGGACACCAAAGGAGGTTCAGACACACGATGCCCCAAGCTTGCTGGTGGTGCCGGGGGTGGAAAGACGGGAGCACTGGCACTGGGCGGGGGGAAATTGGGAGGGGGAAGAGGGGGAGGGAGGGGAGGGGGGGGGAGAGGAGGAGGGCCAGGGGGAGGTAGGGGGGGAGGTGTGGAACTGGACGATGGGTTGTCGCTCCCTGCACTCGGCGCACTCCTCGTTGCTGGCAGAGGGGGTGGAGGTGCATAGGGGTGGGATCTGCAATTGCCACGGGACGAACGTGATCCTGAAGCTCCGCTACTGCTAGGACGTTCTTCACGTAGGTTTGCTCTATCCCTCTCATCCAAACGACGCAACTCTTGCTGCAGCATTCTTTCTGTCCCGTCACGCACAAAAGCTGTCAATTGAAGTACAAGGGCTTGACGAAGTTGAGGTCGTGATACAAAGTTGAGCAATCTCACACGCGCTGAATGAGTGAGCGTTCTCAGGAACTCATCGATGCTAGGATCCGAAGGTGGCACCGTCGGCATGCTTGCTTGCACAGATGATCTCGTCTCTTAGCCAAAAACACTGCGATGCTAACATTTGCAAGTCTCTCACACATGGCAAAGTCAGATCAAGACATGTTGCATGCACGTCCGCTGTCAACTGTCAACTGATAACAGACCGCTTTTACCGTTTCATCAAAGCTTCACACAAGCGAAATGGATAACCAAGGTTCGCTAACCACCGTACAAAAGTATGGACAGCTACTTCTGCTTGGCACGTTGGCCAAGTGTACTTACGGATGAGAGAGATTCTCGACTTCGCACCTGACACCAGCAATCGATCGCTGCCTGCACTCATGGGATGTCGAACTTGCCAAAGGAACTTGGGCTGGAGATAGTAAATGGTTCGGTTTCGGACATCAATATCAAATCCCAAAAAGTGACCATCACCGACAGCTTCAAGAACA